TACCTGCCAGCCTGGAGACTCAGAGGAGAAGGTACGGGCAAAGTTATTTACTGTAACATGCAGATGTTTCAGGTTTACAGGGAAACACGCTCAGCATACGGGTTATTTTTTCGTCTGTGTTTTTCATGTCTGATCTCGTGACTCCTCTGTGATTTTGTCACAATGAAATGTCTCTTTGCATGTTTGTGGTGTGTTATCTATTTTATCTCTCTAGGACTAAATAAGGTTTAAAGTTTCTGGGTTTTATACACTTGACTAATTCTTGCTAGCTTGACTGTAAATAGGCGTGGTTTATACTGTGCTGTGCATGTGTTTGATTGACGCTTTGTCTTCCTCTCACCTCACTCTGACGCCCTAACATGCTCTCTCGCTGTCTAGCAAATGGAGTCTCTTGCAGTAAGTTCTCTTACAAGTTTCTTCACTTCACTGCCTTAGATTCCTCTGAAACAAACTGCTTAATTTACTTTGCATAAGACAATCAGCTAGCTATTGTGTGTTCGTATTCCTTTGCATTTGTGTGTATATTTGGTAGGTACTTATGAGAATACGCGTCTGTGTAGTTTTTCGACTGATGAATCTGACCCTGTTTCTTCTTCAATGTCTTCTAGCAACTGGAACTTTGTCAGAGGCTCTACAAGCTGCATTTCCAGCTTCTCCTACTCTTCCAGTCCTACTGCTCGCTCATTGGTCAAGTTCATGCCATCAGCTCTGTGCCTGAGGTGAGCCAAATCATAGTCCACAAAGACATAATTTACAGTCTTACAGCAAGCTCTTCTATTGGTTCTCCTGTGCCTACATGAGAAGATTCACTATACAAGTAATCTGTAGTCAGAATCAAATATAATAAATATCAATGCTGTCGATGTTTATCTGCTTGACTGTAAACGCAAAGGACCCTTAAGATTTGGTTATTAAAGAACTGTGAGTTGTCCACTAGCCCCAGACAGCAGGTTCAAATGCCGTTGAGGAAGCAACTAGGAATATGTGCCACATCAAAAATAACTATATATATCTTTATTATACAAAATATATATTTTGGACAAAAACAGCTTTAAGCACAAAAGAGCAACCCATTAAGAGTCATGTGCAGTATTAGATTGTGTTAGATTAACGGGAGCCAACAAAGGTGCTATAAAATTATTAAGATAACTTACTCACAATGAAGTAGTAACATCCACGGTCCCAGTTAGCTCGCAGCAGGTAAGTCAGCATGCTGCTCCTATTGCCACACCAGAATGGACCCACATACAGCTAAATTCAATTTACTCTCAATAGCGGCGTGTTCAATACACCAGCAGCTCACCAATAGGTGTAACAGGTCCGGCCAGACAAACTGACCTCAACTTCAGTTCCACCTGGTTACATTATGAGATAGTTTGTCCTTCCTAAATGTATTTTAAATTCAAACAAATGTGATATAAATGTTCGTTCTGTGATTACTGAAAAGCTCACACACACACACACACACACACACACACTCAACCACCGCCATCTGTTTCCCTGCCACCTTGTAGCTGCTGAACATGTCTCGAGAGCTTACTGACCTGAAGACCAGCCTACAGGCAGCAGAGGCCGCTGTGGCCAGCGACCTTGAACACAAACACTTGGCACACACTCACGCACACGCCACCCAGGTGGCAGCCATGGTTGTGCCCAGCTTCCCCACCTCGGAGGCAGCTGTGCAGGCCATACTGGAGTGCCTTAAGAACAACGAGTTCACCAAAGCTGTGCGCTACATCCAGGAGTGCAGGTGAGTCACAATTCAGTTTTTCAAAACTGTTACACTAGATAATGGTTCTCCTCAATGTTATTGGAAATGAATAAGCCCAACATCGGACGTAATCACACACCCAGTGCACTGCTCTCTTTATATCTACATATACTGACCTATCACACCTTCTTTTTTATCTCATCTTCAGGAGGCAGTGGCCCAGCGGAGTGTTTGGTGGCAGCTCAGAGAGCGAGGTCCAGACACTGCTCAATGTCTACTTTCGCCACCAGACGCTGGGACAGACGGGAACCATTGCCCTGGTTGGTTCCCGCCAGGACCTGAGCCTGATCTGCTCCAAGCTGCTGGAGCTCAACGGGGAGATCCGCGACATGATCCGCCGCGCCCAGGGTTACCGGGTCGTCACAACCTACCTCCCCGACTCCAGCGCCTCCGGGACAAGTCTCTGACAGGAGCTCAGGAGCCCCCCACCCCCTCCTTCCCCACCCTTACCTCCCCCATCACTGCAACTTTTGACCCTTCCAAAACCATCTCCGCAGCCGGCTCTTACAGAGGAGGCCCAGCAGCACCCGCACACCTGGCCCCTGCCTCCTCCTGTGTGTCTGCTGCCCCGGCTGCACAGTTCCAGACAGATACCTGCCTACCGCCCTTCCCAACACCAGAACCACATTTAGGCCATGGCCCCAACCTTTCTTCTCTGCTCTCCACTGCAGACTCTGATGCCTCTTTGCTTGATTTTCCCAAACCCCCGGACTTGTTCTCATCGCATAGCTGCTCAGACAGACCAGATTTTACACTGCCGCGCACACAAGAGCCAAAGAGGAGCTTTCTCAATGAGAACACTAACCTTTATTATCCTTTCAGAGGACATTCATCACACAGTTCACCACTGCTGCATATACACAGCAGCAAAGACCCCATATCATCTCGCACATCTAACACACTCCCGACTGTCGCCTCAGAACCCACTTTACTCGCGCACACTGACACAAACACATCACCCGTTCCCCCTCTGGGCTCACATCTCCCCCATTTCCCCCGGTCTCCATACAAACACTCTAGCCCTTCGACAGTTCTACACCCGGGCCATAACACAGTCTTAACCCATGGTCCTGCCCCATCTTCATCTCTTCTCCCTCCCCCGCCTCCCCCTCCCTGTCCCACCAGCCCAGGAGAGGCTGCGGCATGGGGTTGTTGTTGCTCCCTCAGTGGTGCCGCTACGCCCTTATCTCGCTACCTGGGGAAGGTGGGGCACGCTGCCCTGCCCCTATTGAAGGCAGGGGGGCTCCTGAATGCTGAACCGTCAGACGTCCAGACCTGAGACATAAACAAACAATACCAGAGGACCTAAAGAGTTTAGACGTCTGTGAATCAAAATGCCTGAAACTAACTACTCCTGAGCAGAGCTTTGAATCTGAAAAGATGACATACATATGACATACAGATTTTACACTTTAAGAATCATGTCCCAGAAATAACAGGATGTATCACTGAACCCGCTAGATAATACAGATTGCTGCCTGCTGATAAAGATGACTTGATGTGATTCAATCAAGCGCTAGCTTTGCTCTACAGCTATGTGCTGTAAAATCGATGTGCTCCTGGATTTACGTCCTGCTTGACGGTCGTCGTTTAGCACCGAATCTGTTCTGCACCCGAGGACTTGTGAAGGCTCTTAGCTTGGATCTCAGACTTGCTTCCCAGAGGAACTCGAGACCTGATGGAGCTCGATTGACTGCTGCCTCCTTCAGGAAGGAACATAGCTTGCTGGTCGTATCACCAGAGACTGTGAACTACCCATAACACTACGTAACATCACTGGTAGAGTTTTTGCTATTGCACTAAGTGGAGTTTTGGTATTAGTTTTTTTTAAATGTTACAGAAAGGAGGTTATTTTACTGTTTGTTTTCTTGTACTGTGAGAGAAAAGACTGTCACTTTTACTGAGAAGGAAAAGCCAAAAGCTGGATTAGATTTTCTCTCCTGTTGTGTCTACTACTACTTCGAGGAAATTGTGCAATGCATGACCCAGTTGAATGCTTTCTACTGTACTAGTGTCCTTTCTTTGCTCCCTAAAAGTCTGACCTCTCCAGACTGACTGAAAGACTGATCGACAAAGAGTGGATGCTGAATATTCAAGTGTAACTCCTCATGCTGCCCTTGCTCTGTTTATATTCTGTATCAGTGAACCAGCTCGTCTCCTGACTACTGTTGTAAACATTGGTAGACTAATCATGCCATTATGTGTGCACTCCTCTGTGGCTAGTGGTAGCATAATTAGTGAGTGGACACACTATATATTTCTCACTGTCCTACACTGAAACACGTTGACCTTATGTGTTCACATGCCATGAGGATGGTGCATGTATACACTCAAATATTTTTGTCTGTCTGTATAGAGTTTGTAGTTGTGGGCACACAACCATTGTAGCATATGTTTGTGTGTGGTATGTAGTTACCTTACACGTAAGGGAAATGCTGACATTCAGCACTCATTGTTGATGTTCAAAACAAAACCTGTGCTACTACTGAAGTCGAACACTTCCTGTCGTCAGCCCTTTTGTGACTCTCCCTCGTTTCCCCCTCTAGAAGTTATTTACTGTACAAATATCTTTTTCCTATTTATATCTGATCAGCTATAAATCAACACTCATTCGACTTACGTTTTATATTGATGTTCCTTCTCTCAAATCAAACTGCCATGCATGCATCTTCTGTGTACTGTATGGAGTGTTTGAAATATTTATTTACAAAATCATATTTTATCTGAAAGATATGTTTGTATGAGGTACAAAAGGGAGCTTTAAGCTCATGCGGGTATGATTTTTTTTTTTCCTACGTGTGGGAGAACGTTTGTGTGCATGCCAAACAAGAAATTGCACATTTTTAAAGCTTTTTAGATTAAGACTGTAGTTGTTTTTTTCACCTTGTAAATACTTTTACAGCCTTTGTGATGTTGTTTTGAGTTGATGCTCTGTACAAGTCGGTGTCAAAGTAAAAGACATGAAAAGTATTCCTTGGCTATTCATTGTTTTTCAACCCATCTAACTACAAGTCCTGTGTTTAGCCTTAGCCCTGACCTACCTTTCTATTAACGCTACTGTACCAAACAATTTTTTGTTGGTATTCATCTTCTTGCTTAGGATAAACTAAAAATTGTATGCATTCAAACCAAACAGGAGCTGTTAGAGCTCTAAAAGATTGTGCCAAAATCTAGATCAAGGTTTTAAATGAATGAATGCAAATTCATCAATCTACAAGAATGTATCAACTTTTGAAATGCAATAGTTTATTTCATTTTCTCTTTTTTACCAAAATAATTTTCATAGTTAAGCACCAGGACTCATGAGGGGACACAAATGACAGCCTTTTAGGGAAGTTGCTTCAAATAAAACAACCAAAGCAGAGATTAATCTACTCGCTGGCAGGAGAATAAATTAATTTCTTCAAGTCCGTTACTGGAGGCAACTTCCATTTGTGACATGTACAGATACTAGACGTCTGCTGACAAGTAATCTAAATGAGGAATGGGTGATTCCAGATCAGAGGCAGCTCAGACAATGTATTTGAAGCTGTAGGTGGCGTCACAGGACAGCCTCATGCCTTTGCAGCGACAACACAGGTCCTGGCGGTGAGGCCTCTTCATGTTAATGTGCCTCAGTTTCTTCTCACAGCTGCAGCAAGTCTGAGAGCAACCCTGACATAGAAGGGAGGAGAAGATGTAAACAGAAGAAGCAAGATTAAAAAAAAAAAAAAAAGCAAGCAGTCAGAGGATGCACAGTTTGCACATATGGGTATAAATGTTGGTATACGGTCCACATTGAGAGTTCAATACCAAACCCAATTAATAAAATATCATGCTACATTTCCTCTTGTAGCAAGACAAGTAAATGTACCTTGCAGAGGATGGACTCCACTCTGTAGGGGTTAAACCCTACCTGACACTTCCGGCAGAGCTGCTTGTAGTACACCTGACAAGATTAAAGAATATTCTGAATTCTTATTATGAATGCACATTTTGCCAAACGTAGATTGCAGCATAAACAAAACAGGGCACTTACCTTACTGGTTCCAGAGATGCACCACACATAAGCACTCTCCCACCGGATGTTGCACTTTTTGCAGTGGAAAAAGCCATACCTCTGCTCCAGGAACTAAAATAAAAACAGACTTTAGGGTTTTTTTAAAAATACATTTATAGGTAGGTCTATATGTATGGCACACTGAATGAAAACAGTCATGCAGGAAACAAACACTAGGCCTGAAAGTCCCAAACCTTCAGAGTCAGAACCGAGGCTGGATTCCCAACTGACCAGAGAAAGGGCTCAAATCACTGACTTATGAAATCTAGCCAGTCATTTATTGTACTGCTGTTATTTTTTATTCTTCTGTGTATTCAATCTTAGCTTATTTTCATCCTTCCATAAATCCTCTATATATAATTTATATTAGGTTGTGTTTCATCTTGTCATAATCCCATTTTTTTCCATCTTATTCAAAGCACTTTGAATTGCCTTGTTGTTGAAAGGTGCCATAATAAGAAACCTCCCTTATCTTGCGCTAAAAAATAAAATACATTCAGAAATGGAAAAAATAAATAAATAAAAATGGACCACTAAAGCACAATATGAACAAACATGATAATGGCCTTAAGGTGGGTGTACCTGATCTTGAAGCCGAGGGTCCCTGTGTCAAATCTAATTTGAATACCTTCATTATTTCAGTTTTGTGCTTCTATGCTGCAAATTTCCAAGTTAATGCATTTAAATTGAATTATTAGCATTTCTAGGCCTCTGCAGTATTCCAGTGTATGTAATGCACAGAGAGTTGGGAGAAAGGGGGACATGATAGGGGGCCAGCAGCTCATTTTGTCCCCCTCCCCCTAGCAGGTTAATCCAGACCATAAAGATTCACTAAAGACCGAAATCCCACCGAATACTGAGACTTTACTCTTAATAATGATCCTAATTGAATGATAAGATGAATGATCACAGTGGGAAAATGTGTGAATCCAATAAGAGTTAGTTCTCTTCAGGGTTTCCTGACACAGAAACCCACCTGAAAGTTTGACCCCTTTGAAGAACGGTGAAAGGTCGTCTTGAGGTCCCCCTCTGTGTCCTCACCACTGTGATCCTCAGCATCCTTGTCGGACTCGGCTTGTTCAACGCCTTCAGCCTCTCCTTCGCTTCCCCCCTCATCGTCGCAGAGCTTCCTCAGGTGGATCCTGCGGTCAAACACCGGCGAGTAGATGGAAACGGGCCTCAGGAAGCGCAGGGTGCTCACCGGCGGTGTGTGGCACGGCGCCTTCCACTCCTGCTTCAACAGATCCGGACTCTTCGGGGTCTTCGGGGACGCATGCTGGTCCCCCTCCGAGCAGAACAGCGTCTTGGGACCCAGCGAGCACTGGACTATTTTATCCACTTTGGCGTTCACTTGCACGCCGCACTCTTTGGTGTTTGCCTTCTTGAGTGGAGAGGCTAAACTGGGGTTGACCTGGGATATGATGGCCTTGCAGAGCTCCAGGTAGTTGAGGCCCTGGGGGGTGATGAAGCGGCCCTCTCTCTTACCCCAGCTGCCGTCCTGAGGTGGGAGAGCGCAGACATTGTACTGTGGAAACGTGGACAGGAACCCCTCCATCCTGGACCCATGAAACCGGTCCAAGTTCTTCCTGTTGGGATTTAACCAGTCCTCGCTACACTAATTGGATGATTGAGAACAGGGCGTGCAGGCTCTGATTGAAGCAGCAATATTTAGAGTTCAGTTTTTAAAAGATGTTATGCCTGTATGTAATATTGTGTTCATGTAGAGTCAACCATACACACAGGTACACAACCAATCTCTATTCTAATATTACACAGTCGGAGGAATAATTCTACATTTTGTGAGGGCTTCTTAAAAAGTTTAAAATGTTAATTCAATGTTAATATTTAATAATAACTGTATTTACTATATAGCCTACTGTAATTTCAAATAATTAGATTTAATTCAAATGATTTTATTCTGATGTTCACTGTTAAGGTCTGGGTTATTGAAATGCAACGTTTGTTGGTTATATTTTATTCCCCAGCCTGACATTATGTTAAATTCAAACTGTTATCCAAGCTCTGATTCAGCAGCAAAAGTCCACTGTTGAAAAAGTTAAGGCAATGTGCCCATTAATCTGTAGGTTTGTACAAAATGTGCTTTCAAGTTAACCTTTTAAACCTTTTACTCTGGGGTTGGGCTAAATGTGAATGTATTTTCTGCAGTATAGTGCTTTGTTGGAAGACTGCACATCTGAAACACATCTTATATTGGAGCTCCCCCTGTAGCTCATAGTGGCCAGAGACCCATCACAGAAAGTTACGGCAAGCAGCTGCTCTTTAAGGACAGATATTCCTTTCTGATTGATGCTCTGTAAAGCAGCATGGCAAGATCTTTGTTGTAGTTTTAAACCATGTGGATTGTTCAGGAAATCAGCAATTAGCTCCATGAAAGGACAAGTGTAACCAAAGTAAAAGCACCTGTAATGTAAATATGGAACAGATGTTATTGCATGGAGAAGTAACATATGAATGAATTTAGCAGGACAAAGAAAGGGGAAAATGAATCACTTTATAGTAGCCTAAGATGTATTTGAGATAAGGGCACGTGAATAGATGCACACTGACATGATAAAATACCCTTTAAAATATGAATAGCACTATTGAGAAGCAGCTAAATGGATTGTACAGATACATAAATGTCACCCTAATGAGAACATTATGTTTACTGTGACTCTGTCTCATTCATGAGATCATTTTCACACACAATTAAACAGTCTGTTGGTGCGTTCATGTGCTGTCAGAATACTGGGGTTCAATTTATGGTGAAAAAATAGAAGCCAATTCAATGTGGTACATTGTGATGCAAAATGTGCTTGTTTGGCATTTTCTGTAAACAGTAATATGTCCCTACTTTACTTGTAGGCTGTAATCTAACTGTTGCACATTTTTACACGAATAATTAAAATATTAATTAAACAGAAACATTAAAGATTTTCTGTTTACTCCCATTTTTGCAGCACAGTAATCTGTCAGTACAAGGCAACTAATATATTAATAGGCTTTTTTTTTTCTTTTTAAGATATCAAACGGGTAATAGGTTACAATACAAATAGGCCTATTATTATATTCTGAGTGAATAATCTTGTGTAAACAAACCCAGCTTTTACAATATCAATTTATCCATTCTCTCATATATATTTTAAATGCAAATATTATCAGTGTTGGTATAATATTTTCAGAGAAAACGGCCTACAGCTACAGCTACCGTCCACTAAGTAAACACCGTGTTAGGATATTCAATAATCTTCTAAATAAAGTACAATCCGAGCACAATTTGAAGGAGCGGCAGACCTCCATAGACTCGCTCTATAGGTGGCGCTACACACTCATTGGTGGTTTGTACCCATGGGCACTGAATCCATACATATTGGCGCCATTTTGGAGCTAGGAGGGGGAAGAGAGCTGCAGAGGAGGACACGATTGATCACAATTCACCGTATCAGGTAAGAAAATGCACAAATAAGCAAATCCTTTTGATTGAAATGTAGCAATATTTCCAGGTGCTGCTGTGGGAAACGATGTGTAACCCAGGATGTGTCCGCGGAGGAGCCAGGTTTCCAGCGTTTAATAGGCGGAGCGCAGCCCGCCTTGCTCGCCTGTGTTCTCGGCAGCCGTGTCCGATTCACAGCGCTGGTTGACCTGGTCCTGCGGCGCAAAATGGTTAGCTACTGAAATACTAGCACATTTTCTAGGTTCAACGTCCCAGCAACGAGAGCTAATAATAACTCCACTTGGTTGTATGACCGGGGTCCGGGTATTGATGAGGATATAACGGTAGTTAGCCGGGTGTTTTGTTCAGTGCAACGTTACTATCCGCCCGCCCTCTGTCACTGAGATTGCTGCTGCTAACGTTAGCTCGCTTACGTTAGCCACTGTAGTTGCTAGCGGCAGCTAACTAGATTAGCCACGGTCAACGCTACAGCAACAAGGCAGTCTGGCTGTACACATAGTCCCTTGGCCTTGACATACTACTGTACCATAACAAAAAAGCACACTCCTGTTCGTTAAAATGTCCCCCTTTCTTGGCACTAACTTAACCTTAAGTCACATTAACTTAAATGTGAGAATTATTTTAAAATCCAGCGCTGATAGTAATCTGCTTGTAATGTATTTTCGCCCCGACTCTCGTTATTATGAGCTACTTGTAACGTTACCAGGCGCATTGCTCCGTTTTTAAATTAGTATTGATGGGACGTGTCGCAGTGTAAATGGTGTATTTAGTGGTGGATCGTTTGCATAATCGATTAATTGACCAGATATTAGAGGAATGTTGTACTTTTATTAATGAGCACACCTGTTTTTTGCTGCACACGTATTGTTACAATTAAAACAACAAAGGAGTAGCGGTCATAGGCACTTAGATATTTATAATATTGGACACTGGCTGTTATTTTATAAAGTGTGGACAGTCACCTCCTGGGTGCTGCAGTGCTTTTGTTTTGACAGCTATCAGCCTGTGATTATTGAGTCGTGTCACCGTCAACACTGCAGATTGGCTCTGAAATATCAGATTTTGTGGCATGTAACAGGGATTGTGGTTATTAGAAAGCTGTTGGAATTTGTTACCGTGCAGCTCTTAAAATCAGTGCGTTTTCAGGCGACTTTGTTGGAATTTAATGTATTGATTTTATGGTAGCATTGTCAAATAAAATTCTTAAGCTTGCACACATAGTTACTTGTTTACTATCTTTAAAAAAAGAAAAAAGGCTTTGCACAGCTCTCCAGGAACTACTGTGTAGCTGCTCTGATTTGGAGTTAATGTTTAAGTTGTAGTAATGTGTTTGCCACCTTTTTATAGATCTAATGCAGGCTGCAGCACATCAACTTTATATTTCCCCAACTAAAAGAGAAACTGAGGAAAATTATGTTTTGCTCTACAAAAGCCACAATGGTAGTCTTCAGTTTGTTTTTCTGTGATTCATTACTTGTGTTGAAATAGATACAGAGGGGGGAAATATGTGTGCACTGACGATCTTAGACATGTGATTCAGCAGTGTTGTGTTTGTAGATGTCATATTGGCTTCCCTTTGCAGTGTGGCTTCTTTTGAGGTTTATTCCAACCTCCCTGTCTCATTCTCATAACCTTTGGACTTGTTTCAATCCCTCCTTTCTCCGCTTTGTCGTTGCTTCTGGCCGGCCTTCACTGGTTTGCATTTGGCGGAGACGTGCTCCCTTCTGAAAATGTCCATTTCGTTTCATTTCATCTTAGTAAACTCAGTGACAGTGCTTTCCTGTTTGGCCAGTTTCCCTCGCTTTGTGTTTGTCTCGGTGTCCACATGGAGGTCGTTGAGTTCACCGTTACAACCAAGTGGTGGCCAACACAGGGAGGGTGTTTGCTGACAGTCACTCTCTTCCCTGTGATCACCCACAGGGTTAAAACAAAGAGTGTCTGTGTCAAGGTTCAGATTAGGTTAGGAGAACTGCTCTCTGTCTTCATATTTCTGCTGGCAGCTGTGTGAAAGGGCCAAAGTGGGGGAGAGCAGAGGCAGCGGACAGATGGAAAGCCTTGGTGGGGGGGCTAAATGTGTTTTACTCTGATAAACCAAGTGTGAGTTTAAAGTAGACCGTGTTCAGGAGGTTTAGTGTAAGGTAAAGCTTGTGCGTGATTATTTATTGTCACTGCTTATTCGAAGTGAAATATTCCCTGGTGGATGGTACCCAGACAGACCCCCCCCACCCCCCCCCCCCCCCCCCACCCCCACACACCCACACACACACACACACACACACACACACACACACACCACCCACCCACCCCCCAGGTTGAGAAATACTCTACTCTGATTGGGCATTCAGTGTCTCAGTGTGGTAGGCAGAGAGAGATGGAGTCAAATTTGGCAGCAGCTGTGGGGTGGAAAAGAAGGTCAGAATCAAGCAATTTGGCAGCCTGCCAGTGTCCAGTCAGTGTGTAGGTTTGGCCCTGTGTGTGTGTGTGTGTGTGTGTGTGTGTGTGTGTGTGTGTGTGTGTGTGTGTGTGTGTGTGTGTGTGTGTGTGTGTGTTTATAAAAGCTCAAGTACAGCTGCAGAAAATTGTTTGGTTGTTATTCAAAACTCAGTATTGCGGTCTAGTCTCTAAATCAAACCCAGCAGCCAGTGCTTTTGTCAGACGGCAGACCTACTGACCCAGACTGCTTCATAATAATCAATCCTCATTCGATGATAAAAGCAGCATAAATAGTGAGAAGACACTAACAAGACAGTAGTTACAGAAGGAGTTCATTAATTTACTGCTTTTAGGAACAGTATATAGGCAGGGATTTTTCTTGAAAGATAGTACAAACATGTTTGGCTGACTCCCCCCCGGGTGAGGTGATTGTTGTGGAATGAGATATTGGAGCAGGGCAGGAAAACCTGCTGTCCAGTAGCCACAAATGCTGGTGCCTTCCACAATTCAGACAACTTTGGTACTTTTACCAGTGAACGCAGTTAAGTATGGTTGACAAAGTGAAAATGTGACTAAATTTACCTCGCGGCAAGTGCTGCCATTGCTGTTCTGAACTCCAGACAGATATCTGGAAAGAGGAATATGGATCAGACTCTGTCCAATATCTGTCTTTCATTTCTCTTGACTTTCCATCCATCTGGCATTCAGGATTTGTCCACCTATCAGTTTTGACTATACCTGGAGAAGTAATGTATGTCATTACTCTTTGTTTTTGTTTTGTTTTTTGGAATTACACAAATTGAAGTCTTTAAAGCATTATACTACAGTTATATGACAATGGTCAAATTAAGATGGCCTGTTTATTACTGATTAAAATCGAATTGAGCGGCTGGTCGTGGAGGAGGGCTTGGTTGTTGTTTTATTTGTTTGAAATCTAGTCGATTGCACATGTTTGTTTAAACAAAGTGCAGAGACTTTTATTCAAATACTCAGCATGAGAGTGTTGTGTTAAGATGATAAAACTTAATTTTGTCTAGAAAATAGTGTACATTTCTTTTTATAATTTCCCAAAGTGACAGTTTTGTTTTGTTCGCCCAAGGAGTTTTTTGTTTGTTTTCTGGTTTATTTGAACTACTGCCTCCAAATCAAAGTGTAAACAACTGGGGCTATAAATTCACAACTGAAGCTGTGTTACTGTCACATTGTCTAAAAAGAACGCATTGTTAATAATGAGTCTTCAATTAGCTTTTTTCCACAACATTTTGTTAAGAGAAGAAACTGGAACTCTAAGACTCATTAAATTAGGACAGATATGGAGCTGGTTAACAATCTGGAGAGAGAGAGAGAGAGAGGCAAGGTATGCAAATATCTGTGTTTAAAAAAATAACCTCCACAACTGGGGCCATGAGGTTGGAATTTGTTGGGAGCTGTTTTTAACTCTCGGTCTGACCCGCCAAAAGTAATAAATGCATATTAACACATTCTTTCCACATGTTTACTCAAGATGAGGTGTCCAAATCCCTGGTTGTAAGCAGCACGTGCTCAAACAGTTTTCCTGTGTTTGACCTTTGTCAGCCTCACAAAGACAAACTAACCGACCGTGCAGGTTCAGTTTTGTTGAGGTCGATGTTTAACACTTCAGCTAACCAATTTCCTGGGGGAAATCCCTGCAGTCCATGTCACATTGCAGTTGCTCATGTTGACAATTTCAAAATCATGACTCTCAAAAAATCTTGCATAATCATTCCGATGGGCTATAATATATTGACCATTCAGCCATCTAATTTCACCACTGATCTGGAGTTTCTGGTGGCTTTTTATAATATGGGTAGTAAGTTGTAAACAGTAATTAGTTGGTCTATGAAATGTGAAATTAATATATCACAGTTGCCCAGAGAGAATGAGCTTGTTTTGTCCAATAAACGGGCAAAAACCCAATGATATATTATCAAAATAGTTGCAGAAAATGTAATAAACAGACAATTTTATAGAGAATTATCATCAAATTAATTGATCACAATTGTTAGTTGCAGCCCTTGTTGAAATATTGATAGGATATGCATTAAAGTTTAACTAGCAGAGTCTCTGGATCACAAGGGTTCCCTAGGGATCCCCAGCTCCTCCTGTCCATGGGTCAGAGTGTACTTGAGCAACTCTCTGAACCCCAAATTGCTACTGATGGCCAGGCCAGTGTCTTGCATAGTTGCACACTGTGTGTGCATGGTAGGCATATTACAAAGCACTTTGGGCTAAAGAGGTATATAAATGCAGCCTTTAAACTTTTTTGCTTTCTTTCTTGAGAACAGTCTGATGGTTCACTTGCAGCTCTGAATGTTTCTTTTCACTCACAATCTTTGGTTGAGTATAGATGCTGCTTGCAGAGGGCGCATCAACCAGATTCAGGGCTCATTAATAAGAATTGC